TCTCTCTCTCTCTCTCTCTCTCTCTCTCTCTCTCTCTCTCTCTCTCTCTCTCTCTCTCTCTCTCGCTTTGTCCACCTATTCAACCCACCTAACACCACGAAGACTTCCACGAAGTCCACGATTCGACAGGACAACCGTTATGCAGCACACACAGTAGAATTCTCAAGCTGCCTTTTTTTTTCGCGGACGCCCCCTTACGTGGCACTGCTTTCCTCTTCTTCGCCCCTGCTCTGCTGCCATCCCTTTCCGCCTGTCTGACCTCCATCCGTTGCCGTTTCTCCTCAGCTCTCGCCTTCTCGTCCAACATACCTTGATGTTTCTCAACCCAGCGAGGCTTCGACAACCTATCCACCAGTCTCATGTCCCTGACCTGGATCGTCACCCTCTTCGAATGGATGACCACCTCGTTGGTGTTCTCAAAATTGGCGACCAGGTACACCTCGGCAGCCTCCATCAAAGCACGCACCGCCGTCATCTAAAACCTCACGCCCATACCCAGAGCAATGTCCTCCTCCACAACCTCGTGCATGAGCCGCAAGAACGGCCTGAAAGCCAAGCGAAGGTCGGTGGATTGTTGCAACTTTCTGATTCCCGACAAAGTTGCCATCCCGGGGCGTCGACGGCGTCTGGGGACCTGAGTTCGTGCACCTGCGGTGTCTCCGGTCGCTGGCACCGCCTTGGGGTTCACCTTCTTTCTGCTTGCGGGCGTCTGCCCACGTGGCGGTCCCAACGTGCACTTCTTCACCTTCCCCGGGCTCTCCGACATCGCGACATCGCTTGGGCCGCCCATGTCACCCTGTGCTGCAGAGCAGCCCTCGACGCAACCAGGACCACATGGGTCCTCCACGTCAGCAGACAAACAGGAAATTTTTGAGCGGTTCTCTGTCCTCTTGCCTGGCTGCGCTGAACCTGCCAAGTCATTCTCCGACAGATACCGAATGTCTCGCAGGAGTCCATCTGAGTAGGTCAGATGGAAAGGCACACCAAGCGGGTCTCGGAATCTCATGGTGACGTCTCCACCATGCTTATATGTCATGGGACATACGACCGGGACCCAACCAAGAACGGTCGTGCAACCGTGCCTGCGGCGAATGTGAGCCATGTATCTGTTCTGACCGTCGTCATGCTCTTGGCCTGTACAACTCCCCTCAACCATGGACCACATCCCCTGGTCAGCTATGGAGTCATAACCCGCGCACACCATCTGACGCTCCTCCTCCCTTATCTTCTCCCAGCAGCTCTTTGCGTGTTCAACCACGGGCACGTGGTCCTTTACATTCACATTGAAAATTGAGACACGTGCCAGAACCACGAGGAACTGCCAATGCTCAGCAATGCCTGCATGCATCCATCCCAATGGGAGCCAATGCCCTGATTGCAGTCTTGCTGCCATCGTCACCTTGCCATCAAACACTGCAGGATGCAAACATCCAGGGACCCAATTGACACGATAGTCATACTTTTCAGGGGCCATATGCTGCTGCAACTGTCCTTCAGGGATGACATGGGCCCCAGTGTCCATGGCAGACAAAACGTCACTCCTCATTGTGACATGGTCTCATATCTGCGAGCATAATCCATCATATGTGGCTTCCTGGCCTCTTGCATGCGTGTATGTGCTGCCATCCTCACCAGTGAACACTTTCTCTTCAACCACCTCCAACTCTACAGAGTTCTAAAGCGGCGGGAAAAAGCAGCCATCAGTATGGGTAGGACATGCCATTGCCTTCTTCTCATCTTCTGAGACCTCCCTGCCGAGGTGCCTGAAGGAGAAGTTGTCATTCACATAATGCGTGCTCCAGACATTTCCCATGGCATCACGCATCATCATCCTCACACTGCCACATGGAATCGGGATCACACATGGCACTAAACCCCACCTAGGATCCCTCCTCGCATCGCTCTAGTGGCACGCCGTACTCCCTGTTGCGTCGTTCCCGCCAATCACCCATGCCTGTCCGCAATCGAAACTGTCGTACAAAAAATCGTTCAGCCTGAACTCGCCCTGCGCCTCCAGAACACGCCACATGTCCAATGCATATCGCCCTTTCACCTATGGTGTTGCCCCATCGTTCAACCTAAATACTTTGTCAAACACGATTGACAGAGTCACGTTTCGCCATGTATTCATTTTGGGGGCAGGAAATGGAACCCATGTCCCTTCGACTTTGAACGCAAAGTAGGGTACTCCTCCAACAATATCCGGTTGAACACGACCCGACACCCAACTGATGTCATATGGGTACTCTTCTCTTGCTGATGTCTTCACCACATTTTCATCTTTCACAATACACCCTGTCAGAGATTCCCTGCTTCCCAAACCTCCCTCCTCTCTCTCTTCCCCAACATTTTCCATCTCACAAGTGCTCCCTCCTGCATCATTCTCTGTTTCATCACCATCACCCATCATCTCTGCAGTCTGTGCACATATTGTCGCAAGCACCTCTGCGCAGTCTACGGTGTTCCCTCCAGCCGAATTCCCTTCCTTGCTGTCATTTGCAAAACCCTTCAGAATGTCCTCCGTCTTCATGGCGCATGTCTCTCCACCGTTGACAGTCGATGCAATCGCGGGTTCCATCTATTGCATGAGACACCACATACATTTATGAGAACACGTAGTTGCGACATGGCCCCTTCACCCGAGAGAGAGAGAGAGAGAGAGAGAGAGAGAGAGAGAGAGAGAGAGAGAGAGAGAGAGAGAGAGCACCGATAGAGGTGGTTTCACTAGTGCGGGCCAGAAGGACAACAAACAACACCGGTGGACACTGATATGGCACGCAGTAGTGAACCACTTGTGTGTCGTGAGGCAAAAAGCAACAAACATTATGGACATAAATTTATTCTAAGCAGAAAGTAATAATACAGGCAGCACTTAAACACACATCATTGTGTGTGTGTGTGTGTGCGAGAGAG